TTTCCTTGCTGAAAGTTTCCTTTACCGGACATGACCCAACCTCACCTGCCCACACAGTAAGCTTGTTCTCCTCCTCTCCTGCCTGAGGGTCACTGGTTCCCAGATGTGGTTGTCCACATGGCGTCTTCCCTCCAGTCTCCTGGTACGCAGACAGGCCTGGCGGCCTCAGCTTCTCTCTTGGTCCCGCTTCCCCACTCCCTGAAGCCCGAGTCACTCATCTTCACAGGCACAGATATGCTGTCTCTCTGGGATGTTGGTGTGAGGAGCAGGAGCCATATTTGAATTATAAAAAAAGATTTATTTATTTATGCATACAAGAGCTGGGGTGTAGGCCAGAGGTGCAGGGGTGAGAGGATTCAGCAGAGACAGAGTGGGAAACAGAACAGGTGGATCTACTGAAATCCCCTGCGATGGGAGCAAGGGGAGAGACAAGAGAAGTCTGCTGTGCCATGTGGGTCAGCTCCCTGGCCGGGGATCGAACTCATGCTGCAGTGGCTGCCAATAACTTCATAGGCCTGCACTTTAACCCCTTTCGCCACCAGGCAGGGCTCCATATTTGAATTTTGAATGCCCTGTGACCTATCTTACGAAGGGAATGAACGATGAGAGTTCCTTATGCTGCCTTGGTGAGGACACCTCCCACCCCTGGCACCTCTGATACTCCCCCAGTTCCTTAAGGATGCTACATGACAGGAACAAGCCACATGGGCTCATTGTAAAAGTCGGTGTTTGTTGAACACTTTTACTATACACTGCTTTGAACGCTGTGTGTGATATTTTGCATAACTCTCTGTGGCGCAAGGAGCAAAGTTACCGAAATGATCTTGGGGTGCCTCTCTGCGTTGCCTAGGTAATGAGCTCGCTGGGACGGGAGTGGGAGGGGAGTGTGTCCGTCCTAAAGGCACTCAGCCTTGGCTAGGACCAGCGGCTTACACTCCACACGGGGCTGCCACTTCCTAGACACAGTCTCTGGGTCTTACTGGAGGAGCCTCGCTGCATGGCATGTACCTACTCACCTCTCACAGCATGGGAGGGAGGAGGACTATGGCTCTGGGCTTCTATGTTCCTGATAAATCTGTTCCCCGTATGCGACGTGGCAGAGTATCTCTCAGCGTACTGCGCCACATGCATGCATTGACTTACGAATTGGAGACCACGACTCCCATTTCAGAGGGGATGAATATAACACATGCACAAGGGCACAAAGCTATTAATTGGTCTCACTTGAATCTATGTCTTCTAGTTTCTGAGCTATTTCTAAAAATCTTTGTCCAGTCGGTGGCATTGTTAGTTTATAAGGAGTGGAGTGTGCGCTTTGCTACCCATAAATGCACCGAGGTGCGGGTCACATGGCACACAGAGGTCCCACCTCAGAGCAGGCAACCTAAATGTAGTCTGCAGGGATGTCTGGGTTAAGTAAAGTCTTTTTTTAAAAAAAACATGTTTATTTATGCATTCAGAACTGGGGTACAGGCCAGAGGTGTAGGGGCAGTGGGAAGATTCACCAGAGACAAAGTGGGGAGCAGAATGGGCTGCTTGACAAAGTCCACTGCTGAGGGGAGCAGCGGGCGGGTCAGGAGAGGTCTGCCGCGCTTTGGGTCACCTCCGGGGCGGGGATTGAACTCGTGCGGAAGTGGCTTTCCCGTCTTGTTTCATAGTGCTGAACTTTAACCTGTTGCGCTACTAGGGGGGGCCCTGAGTAAATCTTTGAGCTGCGCTTTCCTATGACGACCCTCTTTTCTCTACCCCATCTCTTGCTCCTCCTTGTCCCTTCCCCCACCCTATCCCTCTTAACCTCGAATCTCCACTCCTTCAGGACGTTGGCTGGTGTCCAATAGTTTTGAAAGTGTTTCAGTGGTCAGATTGCCTGTTACACGACTGTCCATTATTTGATTTTATTGTTCCGACTTACTTGCTGCACATAATTCTTTCAAATGGCCTGCATTGTTGAAAATGGCTGCACCCCTTTCTTCTGGCTACGTAATACTCCACACTGTGTAGGCAACTCCCCGTTTTGATCCGTTTGTCTGCTGAAGGTGATTTAGGCTGCTCCGATGTCCCAGCTATTGTAAATAATGATGCTGTGAATATTGTGGCAAACATATTTTTCTGTGTGCCTGCAGTTTTGTATTCTGTGTGTATATGCCCAAGACTATTACTACAAGGTCTTATGGCATTTGCAGGAAAAGTGTTTTTTTTTTTTTTTTGATTGATATGGATGGCCAGTTTTTTGCCTGTAAGGTCTCTCATGGAGATGGGAGTTTTACAGACAGGAAGATGTGAAAATGGTATCTGCCACAAGAGAGACTCACCGAAGGCTCCCTGGGAAGCATTTGTTGTGAAACGTCACGGAGGGGCATTAGGTGGACCTGGGAAGTATTATTGTGGCCTGGCAGAGATCTGCAATAGTCAGTTCTCAAGAAAGATGCAGATTGTTCTTGTCCTGTGAAGGTCTGTTTTCACTATTGATACTTCGTGGGATTGAGCAGAGATGACCACAGTGGAATTAGATATGGGGTCCCTTCCTGATTGGGGTTACAGAGAGGGACTCACTGTTGGATTTGAAATTTGGAGATAAGCCAGGGTAAAGGAGAACACAAATGATGGTCTGTAATTAGGGTTGATGAATACATAGGAAAATGATGACCATAAATGAAAGTGATTGGCCATAATTGTACACAAGGAAATTTTATATACACTGGTACCGAGGAAGAAAAGATTTCTTTTGCTATGTCAATTGACTCCCACTTGTACAAACGTGAACCATCCTTTTCATGTGGCTACTACAAATGTGCATTGCATTCTTAGATAAAAGCATGTTAAAGTATTTCCTTATATACTATGGCCACATCCTAAACAGAAACAGTAACTTCTGTTGAATTCTCAACATCAAGAAAAATCTATAAATTAGTGATGATATTATAGGACAAGTATCTAGTAGTTATATTGCTGGATCATACGGAATTTCCATTTTTATTTTCTTAAGTAATCATCATACTCTTTTCCAAAGAGGCTGTACCAATTTGCATTCCTACCACCAGTGGGTGCGAGTTGCTTTTTCACCACACTGACACCAACATTTCTGTCAGCCTATGTACATAAGAGCATTGGCCACGATTACTGTGACTGTGGGAGAGCCATTACCCTTGTACTAAGATTTTTTTTTTAAAGATTTATTTATTTATGCATGCAGAACTTGGTACAGGCCAGAGGTTCAGGGGCAGTGAGAGGATTCACTAGAGACAGAGTGGGGAGCAGAACAGGCAGACTGATGAAGCACACTGCTGAAGGGTGCAGCAGGTGGGTCAAGAGAGGTCTGCCACGCCATGTGGTCACCTCCGGGGCAGGCAGGGATGGAACTCATGGGGAAGTGGCTTTAGCTTCTTAGTGCTGTGACCTGCTGTGCCGCCAGGGAGGGCCCTGTACTAAGATTTTTGCCACTCCTCCAAGACTGATGTTTGTTCTCTTGAAGGTATGTGTCTGATGTGTAGCTTAACTAGGAGAAATAAAGCAGGGTAATGAATGTGACACATTTGTAGGCTCTAGCCAATATTTTCTTTTAGCCTTTTTATTCTTACTGTTTCTAAACCCCCTTTCCAGCACGCACACATATATATCAAAGGGATGTGTGGATTCTATACTAGTACCGGCTGAGAGCTACACCTTTGCTTATTGTTCCTTTAGTCTCAGCCATTTCTTATATCTTAATATACAACAGTTTGAGAGGTCACTCCGCCGTTCGTTTCACAATGGACACTTGACGTATTCCATAGAGTCAAACACAGTCAATAGAGCTATTAAAAACTTTTGTTTAATCATACTACTGGACAATGTAGACACAGCAAAGTCACACAAAAAATTAGCTTCTGTGCTTTGAAAAGCTTATTAATGCCTTTTCCTCAGACATATGTGCAAATAAAATGAGATGAGACCATAATACTGATTTGGTCAGGTTTTGGAGGGAACTTAAAGAGTGGGCTCATGAGGTTGGTAAGTGCTTTTTCACATAAAATAAGATTATAACTGAGTGAGACAGTGAGTGGGAGCTTTCAGTGGTAAATCAAATGGGTGTCAGGATTTGGGAGGAGTCCTTGACACAAAGCCAGTGGCTCCTCCGTTCTTGTTCCTACAGTTTCACCCTTACACCATTCTCCTTGTTTCCGTGTCATTATGACGCTGGAAAGTGTATGATGTGCTTGTGCGTTTTTGGCCTCATCTTCACTCACATTCTTCACTCTTACCAGGGTCACACAGCTGACAACTGCAAAATTACCCAAAATGAGTTACAAAACTCAGAGCAGTTGTCATGATGGAATTTGGGAACCACAGGCATCAGGCAGTGGCGAGGAAGGCCACAGTTCCTTACTAACCCTGGGCTCAGTAGCCAAAGAACGAAGGCTCAGATTGCCTGCAGAAGACTAATCAAGGGCACTGAGAAGTGCGGAGCAGTTCACTCGCAGAGGGATTTGCATGCTCTGGAATAGGTATTTGTAGTTGAGCAGTTTATTTTGCAGCACAGAGGACTTCAGATGTTGAATGTAGTTGAGAGTAAAATAAAATAAAAAACAGTGAGTAAACATAAGGCTGCTGATGTTTTGTTTTGTCAAATAAGAGCATTAAGTCCTTTCAATAAGTTACCGTCTTCCACTACCATTATTTGAGAAAAGAAAAGAAAAAAGTAGAAAGCAAAGCACAAGGAGATAGTATTAAATAAAGAAGCACTTTGTTGACTTGTTTTGGATTTCCGTTTATTTATATCCTCCTCATTTTGTGCACCTCCTACTTATTTACATTTTCAGCACTTAGTACAAGTCTTGGTATTTCTTAATGCCCAAGAAATGTGCTTTGAATAAGTGAGTTGTTTCATCTTCTCATGTTACTGACCAATATTATCTCCCTGATGTTTCCTATATAACTCTGATGTTCTGCTCTGCGTTGTGCACGATTATTATGTTATGTACATTAGGGCCATTGGAGGGCTCTGATGTCTCCCATATAACTCAGGACTTTTCTGACCCCTGTCCTACACACACCATTCTCTTGACTGCATTCTTTACATCTTTGTTTCTTAAAGAGTAGATCAGAGGGTTGAGGCCTGGTATGATGATTGTGTAAACGAGAGCAATGAACTTCCCCTTATTTTGGGATGTGTTATTATTACGTGGCATCAAGTACATTGAAATGGCTGTTCCATAAAACAGAGCCACCACTGTGAGGTGGGAACCACATGTGTTGAGGATCTTACGCCATCTCGACGCTGACTTGATCCTCATCACGGCACGAGTGATCACTCCATAGGAGGTGAAAATAAGTGATAAGGGTAAAAGTAGAAATACGACTGAAAGGGCAGAGAAAACATTTTGAATTACTTTTGAATCGATACAAGCCATCTTGAACAAATCTGTTATCTCACAGAAAAAATTATCTATATCTCGTTTCCCACATCTTGGCAACTGCAAAGTCAAGGAGCAAAGAATTAAGGCACAGCCAAGCCCACCTAGCCAGGAGGTCACCACCATCTTCTGGCAGAGCTGAGGGTGCATGATCACGGTGTAGTGGAGAGGTTGACACACAGCGGCATAGCGGTCATAGGCCATCACAGCCAAGAGGAGACACTCTGTGGCTCCCAAGTCGAGGGCGAAGAAGGACTGTAGCACACACCCTCCATAGGAAATAGACTTTCCTGGACCCCAAAGATTTACTAACATCTGGGGGACAATGCTAGCTGTATAACAGAGATCCACAAGAGACAAATTGGATAAGAAGAAATACATGGGAGTGTGGAGGTGGGGGTCTAGGTTGGACACCAGAATAATGGTGGTGTTTCCTACCAGAGTCACTAGGTAGAAGACAGAGACCACCACAGAGATGATGCCTTCCAGCTGGGGCCAGTCAGAAAATCCCAGAAGGATGAAGTCTGCTGTGGAACTTTTGTTGCTTGTTTCCATTATTCCTATGCCAGTCTAGGAGACAGCCATGATAAGAAAAAATTCCATTCGTGTTAGGTAGCAATAAAGCCCTGGAGGGTCGGCATGAGCATCCGAAGCTCGCTCACTACATGCTTCCTGTGGGACCTCTCTTCACACATTCCCTGTGGCAGTGCTTAGTCTCTCTGTACTGAATCAAATCCAGACTGGTTCTAAAAATAATATATTAAATCCAATCACATGAAATTGCAACCCCCCTGGAAAATAATCCTATGTTCTGCTACCCATTGCTTTCATAGATGGCTAAATAATAAATCAAATTAGTTATGTAGTTTTTGCAGTGGTACATACTTTGAGAACTTGAACCTGCTTCAGACTGATAGTAGCATCTCATATAAGCTCATGATAAACTTTTGCCTTATCAAGGGTGTTGAAGTAAAATATGAAATGATGCACTTTTCCACCATTTGATCTAGAACCACTTTCCATATTCAATCTAATTTCTACATTCATCCATTATAATCCTACCCCTATAACCACCAACTCCATCCTCAGAGTTTCCTCCTTATCAGCATTGCAGACTTGGTATTTTGTATGAAATCTTGTCTTCACTACTACATTGCATTTTCACTTAAGCTTGTGTTTTTGATGCCAAACATATAATCATTTCATTATCAAACTTATTTACATGTTCAGAGGTCATATTTTTTTCAAGTATCTTTCATAACTCTAGTATACTGCCTAAAATTTTTTAAAAGATTTATTTATTTATGCATAAAGATCTAGGGAATAGGCCATAGGTGCAGGGGGCGAGAGGATTCACCAGAGATAGAGTTGGGAGCAGAACAGGCAGATCTATGGAAATACAGCTCTGAGGGGCGCAGTGGGTGAGACAGGAGAGGTCTGCCGCGCCATGTGGGTCACCTCCCTGGCTGGGAATCGAACTCATCCTGCAGTGCCTGTGATAGCTTCACAGTGCTGTGCTCCAACCTGATTTTTTACAGACTTGAAAACTGAACTACATCTAGAACCATTAGTTCACCACATACACATGGCAAATACCTGTGCAGCTCCTACTCACCTGGCCATTCAGCAAAATTAGCAGGCAGGCAATTCCAAAGAGCAGCTCATTGAACAACCAGATTCTCCTGCTCCATGAGTGGATCTTCTTGGCTGCTTTGAAATGCCATAGGAACATGATTTCACTTGAACTTGAAAGACAAAGATAAGGGATAAAGTGATGTCCATCTCATTTTCATGATTCTGTTCCCTGTGGTTAGCTAGATGGAATGCTTTATGACTGAGTTAATTTGCAAGTTTTTAAATAATGCCTTACTGAGGTAACATTGCATGAAAAATCAACATCTGTGTCTACTCTGTTATCTTCATTACAAAGTTCTGCTCTGGTCTTCGCCATCATTTATTTACCTTTGCTGGCTTGCCCACTGCCCTTTGACCTTCCCTTCTGGAAACTGTTCATTTGTTCTTTTAGAATGAAAGTTCATTGCTTATAATTTTTTTATGTGTGTAAATTCTGAACATGAACTTCAGACGTAATGTACTTTATAGTATCTTTGTGGCCACGTAATAAAAAACTTATTTGCTGCATTTATAGCTAATTTAAAAAATTACCCACAATATATCATTTATAAGAACTGCAGTTAGAACATTATAGTGTCTTTATCATACTCAACCTTTATTACCAATTTGCCTGAGAGAGAGATGCAGTTCTCTCAAGAGAGGTGGACATTTAGCTAAATGAGTGGGGTCCAGTTTCCACATAGCAGGACGGAGCTCAGTGAAGCCTGAGGCTCAGGGCCGGGGTCCGGACTCAGATGCTTGGGGACCGATCCGGCTTCACAGCAGGCAGCGATATACCCTTGGGAGCCACTTAGCCTGCTTCTAGAGTGCTTCCTGCTATGTTATTTTAAGATAATAACACTTTCTTCCTCGTGGGAAAGATGTGATGTTTAGTATTTGTGAAAGACTTGGATCTGTGTTAGGTTCCTATTTATTTCTTCAAAATGAACATAATTAAAACACCTACCCACAAATCATCTTCTATCTAGCCATTATTCACTTCATTTTTCACTCTGGGGATTTCATCCTCATGGCCTACATAGACGTAAGAATCCTTAAAAAATTTATTTGTAATTTGCATCACTGTTAGAGAGTATGAACATCAGTATATACACAATAATGCCCACAACTCAGTGGATTTATTGAATGACAAATTTCCAAAGCAGGATGGGACTTGAGCTTCTGAAATGCTTTGATTTCAAAATGCATTGTTTTTTTTTGAATCTTAATTACCGCTTAAGTTCGGGAGTGTGTTAAAAAAGGCCATGGCACTCTGGAGTTGAAACGGACCTCGGAGTCACCCACCCAGCCTCTGCCTGCTTTCACAGAACAGCCACACTGTGCTGTTTTTAGCATCAGTGACGTAAGTGAGGTGCTCATTTTCTGTGCCTCTCGCTTACTCAGAATGTTGAGGTCCAAGGTGCCTTTTCAAAATATCCAGGTTCCAACGCTTTCCTTCTACCCTGTAACACAGAGTAAATCAATTCCGTGTACTTCATTAAAAATATATCCCATTTTAATATACGTTGATACATGGATGGAAAAACAGGAAAAACAGTGGGTGATTCAAGGTGAAATTCTGTACCTAGCGCCCAGGTCAAGAATTCCAACACTGCCCACCATCTAGAAGCTTCTCTTAGTGCCTCCTCCCAATCATAACCCTTCCTGGTCCCACAAACCATCCACTTTCTGAACTGTAGTAACAATGTGCTTGTACTTTAGTGGTTAATTACCCGAAGTGTGACTCTAGAGAACATAGTTAGCAGGACTCGTTAACATGTGCATGCGTCTTGGTCTCTGAGTAGCCGGATCTCTTCTGGATACCTATTAGATTCATGCTCCCACCCAGCCTAGACCAGTCAGTCGTTCTTCACACTGAGATCTTCAGATTTCAGCGTTTCTGGTTCTACTCAGCTCGCACAGGGCTTATCAAAGGCCTCAGAGTAGTGAGTTCAAAGGTCTCCAGGTGAGCTCAGGATGCAGAGTCTGGGCATCTGTGATCTACGCACATTTACAGCAATGTGAGTTAGTAGATGGAAAACATTACTGATTCAGTGCAAGCTTTGGGTCACATACGACCCCCGGAGTCCATGGTAGAAGTGCTGCATCAGGAATCACACTTAATGCGTGTTAATGCTGTAAACCCAACTATAGAAGTTTTCACTCTATTTTTTATTAATATTTTTCATATTCTTATGAGCTTTGGGTGTCTAATTTTAGAAGTTATTTTAAATTTGATTTCAAAGTGATAATTTCATGGATCTCATTGTACTCAATATAAGCACGAGTCGAGGAAATATATGTGTTCTAATAGTGTATTTTACTTGAAATCAAATAAATTTTATTTCATTGAAACTCACTTTGTTTTTCAGGGTCTGATTTTAGCTTCTAAAAATGTAGCATATGTTTATCTTTTACTTTTCTTCAGTGAAGCTTAGGACAATGAACAGCATTTTTAAAACATAATTTGGAAGTTTACAATGATATGGACATCAAATGAGAGAGTAACATTTCATGCTTTTAAAATATTTCTAAAAACTGTAAAACGATGTTGAATGAACCATGTATTACTTTCAGAGTAAGAAATATTGCTGTAGTCACACAAGTCAAAGCAGGAAGAGACAATATAAATATAGTTAAGACCCCAGACTCTAGAGTGAGTGTCTGTGATCGTCTTAGCAAAACTCAGCCACTGCCTCTTTGTGTGAACGTGAGCAAACCCACTGACTTCTTTTTCTCTTAAAGATTCATTTTTATTTATGCATACGGAACTGGCTGTAGCTTAGAGGTTCCAGGGGTGAAAGGATTTACTGCAGACTGAGTAGGGAGCAGAACAGCCAGACCTACCGCATACAGAGGTGTGCTGCTCCTTGGGTCAGCCCTCTGGCCACGGAACTCCTGCCACCTCGTGTGGTGAGAGCTGGATAGGGCAGAGATTTAACCCCTGTGCCACCAGGTAGTCCCCTGATTAACTTCTTACGGTCTCAGTTTCCTTAGCCGTAATCAGTTTGTAATTGCACCTGATTTTTTAGGGTAGATGTCAAGAGGATAAAATGATAAGTAAAATGTAAAATTACTCAGCAAGACTCTTGGTGCATAAACAGCATTCAGATCCATCAAGATCCACTAACTGCTCTCGTTGGAATTTATGAGCGGGCAGTAGTTACTGGTATTTATTTCAATTTTACACCCATTCTCCATTTTTCTGTCATGTTAGACTGAGGTGGATGTTCCTGAGATCTGTGCAATGTAGGATGTATTTTCTACTGTCTTTTTCCTTTTTAAAGTGGTGATTTAAAAAAAAAGATTCAGTTATCCTTACTGCACTGGGGTATAAGCCAGAGGGGCGGAGTGCGGGGGGAACATGAGCGGATTCACCAGGACAGAGTGGTGTACTGAAATCTGCTGCTGAGGGGAGCAGCAGTGGGTCAGAAGAGGTCTGCTGCGCCAAGTGGGTCAGCTCCCTGGCCGAGGATCGAACTCATGCTGCCGTGGCTATGGTAGCTTCCATAGCACTGTGAGCTTTAACCCATTGCACCCCCAGGGAGGGCCCCCTGTTGAGTCTTTTTTTCTATGGAAGGAAATATAGCAGATAATACTCACCACAACAAGTTATGAATGTATTTATGTTTCCTCCAGTGCAGAGCTCACCGCGTTCATTCGCTCATGGACTCCAAACATACACATTTCCCATTAATGTGATTCTTCTATTCGTTGGTAATTCAGAAAAACTTTTCCTTGGCAGGTGACCAAGTCTCAGGAAGGTTGGGTTTGTTACCAGGGTTTTAAATATTTGCTTTTGATGCAATAACTGAAGTAACATTTAGTCAACATTTCTATTGGGGATGATGGGGAGAATGTAAATGTGGGACTGGTGCAAGAGCTGACGAATTTGGTTTCATGAAGTTTATTTTTGATAGGCTACCTGCAGGCTGGCAGGG